TTATCAGGAATTTCCTGTAGGCTTGCCATGATTACATGGAAACAAATTGTTTGGTCCACTCAGTTAGAAGTGCAAAAATGCTGGACCAAAAAAACAGAAACGGATTGTTGCCACCTCTATACACAAATCATCCTTTTAGGATATGACAAATGCACAGTTTGGCTTTTTTTTGTGGTTTGTACACTGAAACTGTATTCATTCAGTGCCTGGCCAAATAGGTTTCCATGTTCTGCAACAGCACACACCCACACACAACACAGAACACAGAAAACATAGGAAGAAGAGGCAGTTGGCTGCAGGGGTTAATGGAGTAATGGATGTAATGGAGTTAATAGATGTAATGGAGTAAATGGATGTAATCACAACACCTTTCTCATGCTTGCCAAAGACTTTATTGCATCAAAAAGTTCCCAAGTAAGACTGGAAGGAAGGAAAACCTTTAATTAGTTGGAATTTACTTACTTTTAAAAAAAAAATTGTATCTGCTTGGTGTATCTTCCTGGGAAAAGACTAACATCAGCATCACTTTGTGAATAATTGGGTTTGGTCCTGTTCCTGATTTTCAGCTACCTGGAGTACAGTTTAGGCTGATGTTTATTTGACTTTCCTCCCAGAGGACCACTCTTCTATAGGAGAATTAAAGCTATGCAATGCTTACACAGACATTTCTTGCACTTCTCATAGAGAACAAGACCTATTCTGAGTAAACACTAATAATAGACAACACTGCAAGGAGCTGCTTGGGGCTCACATGCCTGAGAGACATAATATTAAAGGCAAAGTCACTGCTGAAAGGAGCAGATAGATTGCATTTGCTATCACAGATCTCTACTGTGTTTCAGGGATCATGCCGCTTAGGTAAAGTGGGACTTTGAGAGCTAAAGTCTAATTAAAATAAGTGGGCGTTACATAACCATGCTTGGAAGGCAAATTTTCTGCAATATTCTTTAGTGACTAGAAGATGTCTTTCTTTAAAGCATTTGTACAAGTCAACTCTAGCAATTTAATGGTTGGGAGATGATGAGGAAATAAATAAGATTTTGGTACACAATGGTCAAATTAATTTCAAGGGTATATATAACTACTAGCACTTAGGACCCATAACCACATCATGACCCATATCAACAGTAAGGTCCCAGTTTTTCAGGGAAGGTTGGGTAGTACACATCACACAACTGCTTTTTAGAAGGTGTTCTTGTGTATGATGACAAAAGTCATGTTTCAGGGAATGCCTTAGCTCTACCAGGATATCCATTACAGTCAGGGATGCACTGCTGAAGCCCCAGGGATGTATCTGGCCCAGAGAGTGGATTTACCCCTCTGTCCTTTTTTTTTTTTTTTCTTTTTTGCTTTGCTTTAATTGCTTTGTCTCTGTTGCTTTAATGTTTTTCTTCCTCACCTCATTTATTTTATTGATCTTGTCTTTCCTCCTGTTTCTCTTTCCTGGTTACTTCTAGATTAGCAAAAGGATGGGAAGTCCCACAGGGAGCCCCACTTGGCCCCTTTCTGCTGAGTAAAACATCCTGCCAAAATGAAGCTATTCTTGTCAGAAGCAGTGGGGAACATTGCTTGGAGGGCCTACCTTGGGTGTCACAGGTATCTGGTGATAGTTTGTCATGCTGATGCAGAGTCCAGGTAACAATGCAGTCGTTGTGCTCCACCAGCACTTCTCTAAATTACACCAATGAAGGAACCCTATAAGGTGCTAAGAGACTTCAGCTCCCTCATTATATCTGAGCCTGGTTTGCCAGCACTGCTTTCTTAAGGGCTGCTGCACAGAACTCAGTTTCCAGCAAAGGGGAGCCTGCTGCAATCAGGAGACACCTTATGGAGGAAAATATACGAGCTGTTAAAACCAGCCTCAAATTAATTTCACTGTATGGATGAATTCTGCCAAGTTCCTTGAATTTTCACAGGCCAGTTTCACCTACCCTTAATTTACTACTTTTTAAAATGTAAACAACTTTCAAATAAAATTTTATTGCATTTGAATATAATTCTTTTCATGTTCTTTACTTTTCTACTTCACTTCAAAGAATGTTGCGATGATTAACTCATGCATTATGGGATGCCATGTGTAATGCACCCTTGTGACAATAACTCAAATTGCTGTTTTCGTACTACCTTTTGCATCTCACTCTTGTTTTATTTTCACTCTGGTGTGACTGGAACATCTACACCCTCACTCATTTGAACAGACATATTTTCAAGAAGATATTTCTGTCTCCTTTTCCCAGCTGACTGCCAGCTCACAGAGTCTAGGTCAAGAGCTAAGTGAAAGGATCCAGCTAATACAGCTTTGCTTCCAGTTGCTACAGAGCTCACTTTCCCAGCAGTTCTGCTGCACCTTCATCTGTAGAGCTCAGTCACTCATCAAAACATCAGCGAGTTGTATGTGAACTATTTGAATGCCTGGTTATTCAATGAGGCACACAGCAAGGATTCAGTCCAAACAAGCAAGGAGCAAGGTCATATCTTTACAATTTCTTTTTTAAAACAAACAAACAAACAAACAAACAAACAACCAGCACAGGTTGACTAATTACTGAGTTTCACCTATACCATTCAAAATAAGAGGCAGCGCTCATAAATCTTCATTCTGGATATCGACAGAAAAGAGAGCTTCTGGACAAACTGATCATGGAATGGAAATTTTTTTATAATATTAAATTTTTTATAATATTAACTGTTCTTAACCTGAATGAAG